GTCTGGTAGAATTCTGCTGTAAATCCATCTGGTCCTGGGCTTTTTTTAGTCGGGAGGTTTTGTATTACTGTTTCAATTTCCTTATGTGCTATGGGTCTGTTTAAGCTGTTAATCTCGTCCTGGTTTAGTTTTGGTGATTCCCATGCCTTTACATACCCGTCCATTTCTTTTAGGTTTTCAAATTTAGTAGCATATAGGTATTTAAAGTATTCCCTTATAATGTTCTATATCTTTCTGGTTGTCTGTTGTGATGTCTCACCTTTCATCTCTGATTTTGTTGATTTGGAGGTGCTCTTTCTTTCTTTTTTTGTGTTATGGGTCTGTTTAAGCTGTTAATCTCTTCTTGGTTTAGTTTTGGTGGTTCCCATGCCTTTAGATATCCATAATTTCTTTTAGGTTTTCAAATTTTGTAGCACATAGGTTTTTAAAGTATTCCCTTATAATGATCTGGATATTTTTGGTGTCTGTTGTGATGGTTCATGTGTTCATATGGTGATTAGGGCTTTTTCGGGTGTTGATTGCAAGCTTTATTGCATTGTGGTCTGTTAGAATGCATGGAATTATTTCAATCTTTTTGTATTTGTTGAGGTTTGTTTTGTGCCCCAGTACATAGTCGATTTTGGAGAACGTTCCATGGATTTTGGAGAAGGTTCCATGTCCTTTGGTGCTTGGGTGGAATACTCAGTAGATGTCTGATAAATTCATTTGATATATGGTATTGTTTAATTCAGATGTCTCTCTGTTAACTCTCTGCCCTGTTGACCTAGTTAATGGAAACAGTGGTGTATTGAAGTCCCCTATTATTAATTGGTTGGGATTAATCTGAGTCTTAAAGTTCTGTAGTATTGTTTTTATGAAGTTGGGTGCACCAGAGTTTGGTGAATATATGTTCATGATTTAATATCTTCTTGATTCATTTTTCCTTTGATCAAAATGAAGTGGCCCTCTTTATCTCTTCTGATTAGTTTTAGTTTAAAGTCACTTTTGTCAGATATTAGAATTGGCAACGCCTGCTTTTTTCTTAGTGCCATTTGCTTGGTATATTTTTTCCATCCTTTCACTTTGAGATAGTGTCTGTCCCTGAAAGTGAGATGAGTTTCTTGCAGACAACAAAAAGATGGGTTTTGTTTCTTAATCCATTCACCTAATCTGCATCTTTTAACTGGAGAGTTCAGTCTACTAACATTTAAATTATTAATGAAAGATTGAGTATTGAGTCCTGTCATTTTTATTTCTGTTTTACATTCTTGATATAGCTGTACTTTTCCACAGTTATACCTTCATTGGATTTGTTTCTGTAATCCCTTGGGTATAGTCATTCCTTTCTTCAGCTCTTTGTATTGCTTCCAGAACTCTCTGAAAGGCTGGTTTT